AAAATGAAGAAGCTCAGAAAGTAAAGTGCAAGAACAGTGGTCTAGTCTTAAATCTTCGTCCAAAGTGTGGCACGGGCTCTTTAAGGAGGCATATCAAGAGTTGTCTTGAACGTACTCCACAAATTCGTATTTAAGTTGATTTGAGACAATTTGTGTTATTTTAAAATTATTAGACGTATTTATGCTTAATGTTTTAGTTTGTTAGATTAATTTAAATTTTGAAGTATTATTAATTTATTATGCATGAAAATTTAGTTTTACTCTTTTTTCGTTCAATTTTATAAATAATTTGCCTATTGGCCTTATTTGTAGCCACTTACTTTCTAATTTCAATTTTATAATTTTAAAATACAAATTTCAAATTTAAAACTTAAAACTTAAAACTTTAAACTTCAAAGTTTAATTCTAAGCCTTAAAAGTTTGCAAATATTTAAGTATCAATAATATTGAATAAGAAAAATAAAATTTAAAAAGTAGCCCGGTCCGTCCGAACCCGCTAGGGACCGAACCCGAACAGGCCCTAAAAAACCAGAAATTTCCAAACCCGCCCCCAGCCCGCTAAACAGCCCGCCCGCTAACCAAACGGGCTGGAGTTTTTCCCGTTCAGCCCGTCTCAGCCTGCCCGATAAACACCTATAGTTTTTTCCCACCAAATAAGGACAATCTCTACATTCCAGAAAGAATCTCTTTACTATTTTTTTACTAATAAGCCCATAATTTAATATTGGCATGGTCCCATTAATGTTCACTTTTTAAATATAATTTCTTAGTTTTGAGGATTATTTATCTTACCGTAAAATCTATATCCTTATTATTCTTTTTGATTAGTACTAATTAAGTACTTATCTTTTTACATTTCAAATATTGTCAATACTAAGTGAATATTTTGTAATAAGGTATAATAGTTCTAATTTCAAGATACACAAGAATCTGTACTACTTTAAAAATCAGATGCATTATTAATAGCAAAAAAAATTATAAGAGAACTTTAATCTGATTGACTTTTAAAAAAGTATAAATGACTAAATTTTTTGAACTGTTTTTCTTCTGATAATTTGCTATACTATCCATTATGAACTAATCATGTCTTCTTTCAAATAAAGGCAAAACCTCTATTAAAAAGGACAACAAATAAAAGATACCTTGAAAAAATAAAAATGTCATATTTAAAACTACACGAGAAATTTAATCAATTCTTGAAACACCAAATATATTTTAATAGGGATATTAACATTTGTGGCGCCTTTGTTATTGGTAAAATTTAATTTTAACTCATGTAGTATCTGAATAAGCATATTTAGCATTCAATTCATAAAAATATATGTTTTGGTTCCTCTATATAGAAAATATGTTACATTAAAACTATTTTTACAACTATATTATCATTAAATATGGAGTCATGGCACAAATTTAAAGTGAAAGATGGATTGTCAAATGAAAATTCACAAGTAGCAAGATCAAAAGTGCACATTCAATTGATTGAAAGTTGAATTTTCTTAGCCAGAAACATCACAAGTAATCAACACTAGAATTTATGGATGGTTGAGTGACTAAAAATACAAACTTCCCTATCTTATAGCCCATATTGCCGAGCTTTTTTTCCGGTTAAAAGTAATATTTTTATTCTAAAATTAAGGTATTTGATCAAAATTTTAGAAGAAAAATAATGTTTTTAAGTAGAAGCAGAAAAAATAGTTTTTCCGCAAAAAAGTAGTTTTAAGAAAAACGCACCTAAAACGCTTTTTAAAATTTTGTCCAAACATTAATTACTGTTCAACAACACTCGACTGAGTTGGTTGGGTGAGTGATTTTCCATATGGGAGACCTGGGATCGATTCCCCTCACGAGTAGCCTCCTTAGATCTCGTTGTGTCAGGCTTACGGGTGCTTATCGGGCGGATCAAGCAAATATTCATGCTTAATGGTTCGGCTTATCGGTATCGGTTTATAAATGTAGTAAACCGTTAGCCAACCAATAGGACGTCTCGGATTAACGATTATTGGCTAAATCAATTAAACAATAATAAAGAAGTAGAGAACTAGAGATAAGGAAAAATTTAGGTCTAGATTTATTTATATTATATTTCTTAATCCAAATGACATGCAGTATCTAATACAAGATGAGTAACAACTTGTTTGGATGGCTGTTACCTATTGTATCGTATCGTATTATTGCTTTAAATACAATATTTATTTTAATTGTTACTTAAATTTTATTGTATCGTATCGTTAAATCTATCATTACATAACGATAAAATGTGCCACTTTATGTAACGATCGATTTAGTGTGGTCACGTCGTTTCCTTGTGTTTTTATTGTATCGTATCGTTAAATCTATCATAACGTAACGATGAAATATGTCACTTTATGTAACGACCGATTTGGTGTGGTCGCATCGTTTCCTTGTGTTTTTCTCACAATCTCATCCTTCATTATTATTAAATAATTTTATTTAATTATTTACCATACCTTTTTATATATCGTATCAATTTTTCTTTATAATATTGCAAGTTTATTCATCATATTACTGGTACATGATACCATAAAACGACGGCAAAACGACACAATCCATCCAAATATTGTATTCATCAAACAATACAGTACAGTACAATACAATACGATATGATACATTATGAAACGCTATGTAACAACCATCAAAACAAACCATAAATATGTGGTATGGATAAAAAAATCGTCAACTTAACTAAAAGAAGAAAAAAATATTATTACGAGGAAAACAAGTTAGTTAACTAGTACACAAACAAATCTCTTTCTTATCTCAAAGAAAAATCCATGTGACATGCAATCCACGTCTGGCCAAATCCATGTTTGAACTTTGAAGAGCTGACTGCTGAGTGAGACGATTGCTGCTAGTATTGAATTGAGAAATTACGGATTTAGGGTTTCAAGTAGTATATATAGGAGTATATATAAAGATAAAAATTCTTAACGGGTTAACAGTTTATCCAATAAAGAAATTGAGTAATCCACCCCCAAATCGTTAAATTATTAATCATAAAATTTTAATCTGTTCACCAGCCATTACCCCGATAACCCAATATCAATAAGCCAATAAAGCAATTTTACAGTTCAGTTAATTGTTATGGTTCGGTTTTGAATAGCCATAATCGAGCTTGCCTAATGCGATTTACATCTCCTGTATGAGTTGCGAGCTATTGCATAGTGAGCAAGTTACCCCGCGGGTTATGGAAATTTACCAAAAAAACTAATTAATCAAATACAAGCTGCTTTTTACTAATTTGAGAATAGTACTTTTCAAAATAAACTAAGAGCCCGTTTGGATGGGTTTGTTAAGTGACTTTTAAGCCGAAAGCCATAAGTTAAGAATTTTAACTTTTGACTTTTAGCTTATTTTTGTCATTTTAGCTTAAAAATAAGTGATTAAAATCATTTTTTTACTTTATTCAAACATTAGAAAATGGCTTAAAAGCAATTTTGACTTAAAAGCACCTAAAATAAGCCAATCCAAACGGGCTATAATTTTGAAAGCTTGGCCAAATATGGTATTATTAATAGGAATTTTTACCTCCTATAGCAAATGTTGATACCTTATTTATTTTAAATAATACAATAATCTGTCCAGTTGTAATCTCATATTTCACTCTATGAATACAGTTGAATACACTCAAATATAACAACTAATTAGTTGGACTTTCCTGATTCACGCCTATTTTTGCTACTGTATTTATGAATACAATAGCTTAAATATATTAAATACATCTTATAACCATAAAAAAAGTACCTATAATCCATAATATAGCAAATAGTAGGAGGCAAAATACATAAGTTACCCCCTGAATTATGGACGAAATCCCTGTTACACACTTTTTACAGACGAAAATTACCTTACGCACTGAACCTTTTCAAAGTGTGCCTAATACACACTACTTTGCCTACGTGGCCAGCGCGTGTTTTACCAACAAAATAAGGCGTGTGAATAAACAAAAATATATATCTGATGTTTTATTTGAACGATTCAGATCTAACAAACTTTATCTAACGGGTCAAATTGATTTTCCTTTTTCTTTTTTTCTTTTATTCCTTTTTCTTTTACTTTGTTTTGTTCATTCTTCAACGAAACAAAAGGTTCTCCCATGTTTGTCTTCAACAATCCCCCATATCCCCAGAACGGCCTTTCTTTGTTTCTTGTGAAGAGTCCAATAATGAAGCTTGATGGTCTATGAAATTTTAAAGGTAGAGAGATAGTGGTTTTTGGAAGAGAGATATTTTAGGTTTCTGCAAATTAATGGAGATTGATTGATGAGAAGGTGAATCTATGGTCGATGTTGTCTTTAATTAGAGACTTCACTGCTCTTTGCAACTCTTTTTTAGTTTAGCCACCGCCTTGGCCACCAACAGCAGTCCTCCTCTGCCCTCTATGGTGGTTCTTGCCATCCTTGATTTTTATGAAGAATAAAATGAAATTTAAAGATTTTAGCGGAAAGATAATAAGTTCGACAGTAAATGTGTAGGCCTTCTTACTTAAAGAAGTTAATCCAGATTATTATTATGGGATTCTTTTAGAGTGAAAGAAAAATAATTTTAATGGAGATATGAGGTTAGAGATGATGCTGCGCTGGTAGTCGAGAACTTCACATAGCTGATTTTTGATTGAAGAATAGTAGTCGGAGATGGAAGGTAAGATTTGATGGTGGTCGATCGAAGAGAAGGCAACCATGGTGATGGATTTAATGAAGAAGATGGGATCTAATTATAATTTAAACTTTTTTTTAATAAGTTAATGACACGTGTCACTATTTGATTGGAGCGTGAAATTACACATGTTTTGGAAAATTGGTCAAGAAAAAAATAATGTGTATTAGACACACTTCTAAAAGATTGGATGTGTAAAAAGTTGCCCATGGTCGAGAAATGTATAACAAGGATTTGGGTGCAAGGTCAATGGATAAACTATGTATTTTGCCATAATAATATTTATAGATGGCTCTCTCAATATAATCCGCTTGTTTTGGTGTTTTGCCGTTTCCTCTTACTTCCCCCAAAACCCAAACCCAAAAAGAAAAAACCCTTCTCTTTTGTTCCCGCTTTGTCTCTCTCTCTCTATATACCTGTCTCTATCTTCACTGCTATCTATGCGCACACAGATAAATAGATAGATATAAACAGTAGAAGCAAAGGATTATTAGGGTTTATTGTTTTACTGTTTGGGGTTTATCTTTATCACTCTGTTGTGTGAATACTAACAACAGTAGTTGAAGCGGTGACTGTGAAATGCGCCAAAAGGATGCAGAAATTGTTAAGCAGAAACCCATCATTACAATTACCCCCTCCAATCCTATCCCTTAACGTTCTTTCTTACCCCATAACCATAGGGTTTTACAAAAACCCACTTTCTGCTAACCCAAAACTCAGCCCTAAAACAATGGCTTCTTCTTCTTCTTCAGCCGCCCTCCACCATTTCACTAATCCATTTTCCGGAGGTTTTCGGAATATTTCTACTGATTCTAAGTCGGTTGTTCCTAGGGTTAATAGTTGCCGCATGTGTAGGTGTTCTCTTGATACTACTGCGCCGGTGAGGGCTTGGGTTGTGCTGAAGCAGAGTAGGACTAGTGCCGCCTGGTTCGGCATCCTGGCTGCTTCGGCTTCGGACAAGGGTGTTCCGGTGACTTCCGGTGAAGAGGAGAAGGATTTAGAAAATGGGGTTGTTGAGGAGAATGTTGTTAATGGTTCTTCAGAGGAAGAGGAGAAGACGGGGGTGGGTAGGTTGGCGAGGCGGCAGAGGGCGGGTGTTGGGGGAGGAGGAGGGGGAGGTGGAGGAGGGGTTCTTGCTAGTCCAGATTTGCTAACAATACCGGGTGTTGGGCCAAGGAATTTGAGGAAGTTGGTGCAGAAGGGTTTTATGGGTGTTGATCAGCTCAAGCAGCTCTACAGAGATAAGGTAATACGGTTAAGCTGCTGAGAAGCCAAATATCTAATGATGCTTGCCTTGTGCTTATATTTTGTGGTTGGTTCCTTAAGTGTATAGTGTTCTCCTTTGAAATGTTAAAAAATTAAGATGTTTAACTTCATTGATGAGGTTAAATTGAAGGTTCTTTTAGTTTGTTGTATAGGCTTGCATGCTGGTTTCGGAATAAGTGTGGGATTTATTCTGAAGGTGCTTTTGTATGACTGAGAAAATTTATCCGGAAATTTTGTCTATCATGAAGTCATTTTTTGGTGTTCAGTTATTGGAATTATATTTTCTAAAAAAAATAATTTCTATAAAGGGGAAGAGTGGCTTCCCTCACTTGTGGGCGGAGATCGTTTCCTTTGCGAATTATTTTCTATCAGTTGTTCTGCATGGCATAGACAGCCCTGTTTTGTGATGTTGTGATTTGCTAGGACTGCGTGTTTCTGAATGTCCAATCCAATTATTTTCTTTCACTTGACCAATTTGGATAGCCAATATGGTCTCTGTTTTGCAGTTATTATTGGGCTGTATTGGAATTACAGGCTGAAGTACTTAGCTTAAAAGAAAGTATGTACTAATATTTAATGTGCGGGTGATGTGAAGGAAACTGTGCAGCTTGTTTGATTGTAAATTTGATGTGCTTTGTTATAATAAGGCCTTCTTTTGGCTTCTCTGCAGTTCTTTGGAAAATCCAATGAGAAGATGGTTGAGTTCTTGCAAAGCTCAGTCGGAATCATTCACAGAAACCATGCTGAGAGTATCACCACATTTATCAAAAAGAGCGTGGATGAAGAGTTGAAGGAGAAGAACCCAGATTCTGATGTGAAGTCAGCACAAAAGAAACGACTTACTTTCTGTGTTGAGGGAAACATTAGTGTTGGAAAAACAACCTTTCTGCAGAGAATAGCTAATGAGACACTTGAATTACAAGATCTTGTTGAAATAGTTCCTGAGCCTATTGACAAGTGGCAGGATATTGGACCAGATCACTTTAACATATTAGATGCATTCTATGCGGAGCCACAACGATATGCTTACACATTTCAGAACTATGTTTTTGTTACAAGAGTTATGCAGGAGAGAGAATCATCTGGTGGTATCAGGCCCCTCAGGTTGATGGAGAGAAGTGTGTTCAGTGACAGGATGGTAATTTTCTAACCTTACTAAGCTTGTAAAGATGCTCATTGATTGGCATCTTCTTGCTTGATCTTTGATTGTCTGGCTGTAGCTTAACCCCTAGGACAATGTATGTTTTAGGCCATTACAGTTGCACAGTTCCACATCTTTTAATGGGTAGGCACTTCATCAAGACTGACATGGAAGTATAGACTTGCCATATAAATATACATATTCTGATTAATCTTTAATGACAGTGGACAGTACACACAAATACTCCATCTATTTAACAAGACTTGCTGGTGTTTGGAGCACGATGATCGAACCATCTAATATTCAGGGTGGATTTGAACATCAATCCCTTAGGTTCTTTTTTTGTGGTAGGAAATTTACATATTTATAAACTACATCAAGGTACTGTAAATCATCCTCATCGGGAAAAAATTAAGGTACCATCAATCACTATATTAAATCATCCTTATTGGGAAAAAAAATTTAAGGTACCATCAATCACTATATTGTAATTAAATGCCTAAAAAGATATTTGAAGTAGTCGAGGTGACAATATTTTTGACCCAAACGGAAATGCTGTATAAAATCATAGAGAGAGACAGTATTTGACAAATATCTGATTTACGTGCTATGCTTAAGAACTTGCACTGGGAGTTGATTTTCGCACCATACACACCTACTATACTTAACCGATCCGAACTAATGTGAAATTGAGGCATTGTTGTTGTTGTTGTTTTTTTTTTTTTCTTTGTTGTATGCAATGTACTATCCCTGATTATTACAAGGGCTACTGTATGATGCCTAATTTTTTGATAAAGGTCTTTGTAAGAGCTGTTCATGAAGCAAACTGGATGAATGAGATGGAGATCAGCATTTATGACTCATGGTTTGACCCAGTTGTTTCAACTTTGCCTGGACTGATTCCTGATGGATTTATTTACCTTAGAGCAAGCCCTGATACATGTCACAAGAGAATGATGTTGCGTAAGAGAGAAGAGGAAGGTGGAGTTTCCTTGGAATATCTACGAGACTTGCATGAAAAGCATGAAAGCTGGCTTTTCCCATTTGAAAGCGGAAATCATGGGGTATTGTCTGTTAGTCAGCTACCCCTAAACTTTGATAAATCTGTTCCCCCAGAAATAAGGGACCGTGTTTTTTATCTAGAGGGCAATCACATGCACCCAAGTATTCAAAAGGTACTTCCCCATGAATGTAACTTCAGTTCATGGACATCCGTTTCTTTTTCTTTCTGATAAAGCAGTTCCTGTACATTTTTGTGACATACAGCATTGTGTTTAACTGTCTGTTTTGATGCAGGTTCCTGCTTTGGTTCTTGACTGCGAGCCTAACATTGACTTTAACAGAGATGTTGATGCAAAGAGGGAGTATGTGAACTTTCCTTTATTTTCTGTAAATGTTTATAAAATATCTCTTTCACTTAACAGTATACTCACTAAGAGGATATCATCTTTTTTTGTTATGAAAATATAGAAAAAAGGACACCGTCTTTCCCTGCAGTTTAATTTAGCATGTCTATTGAGGCAAACAGTTTCTTTTTTAGCAGTTGCCAACTGCTGTTTATGTAACTCATGTTAGTGCTGACCATTTTATCGTTCTTCACACCTTAGTTGCTGTTCAATATTAACATAATGTGTTCAAGTGTTACCTAGATCACCGAGCTGCGGATTTAATGTTGGTTGTTGGATCCAGCAAATATCAGAAACAGTTTAATCCCTGTTTAATCTTTTAATAAGCCATACATGTCAAGTACTCTTAAGATGTTTCTGTAGGGTGGATGATGGGTATATCAATGATTGACAACAGCAGCAACTTGTAGGGTTATTGCGCAACAGGGGACTTGACGTGGATTAAAAATAGGCAGGACAGTTGTGAGGAATGCAGACAGTGCAAGAGGGCTGGTTTCTCTTTCCCTGAGAAGTAGGGCTAGAGGAATCCTTTTTTTT